CTACTTTTGTTAGTTACTCTCTCTCTCTCTATCTATCTCTCTCTCTCACTCTATTTCTTTCTTACTTACTTTATTTCTTTTTTCTGACTTTCTTTTTTTTCTCACTCTCTTTTAATCCCATTTTTGTCAACTACCCTCTTTCTCTATATATTTCTTTCTTCCTTTTCTTTTTTCTTTTTTCTTACATTATTTCTTTTTTCTTACTTTCTATTTTCTTTCTTTTACTCTCTCTCTCTCTCTCTCTCTCTCTCTCTCTCTCTCTCTTCTTTCTTTCTCATTCTCATTCTTCTGTTAAACAAATTCACACGAGCAAGACATGATTTCCACAGAATTAATAAGAGGGAAAATCTACAAGATAAAACACGTGATAACATATCATTGGACCTTTCTTTCTTTCTTTCTTTCTTTCTTTCTTTCTTTCAAATATCTCAATTCACTATTTCTATATGCAAATTTAGCCGGGGGTAATTTTCCATTCCAGGATCATTTAAAACATGATAAACTTTTATTTCCATCATTATCAGGAAAATGAAATCGTTTAATTTTCCTACAGACAGAATTTGTTGGGTGGGTATAGGTCAATTCAATACACTACCCTGAAAAAAGTAGTGCATTGTTCTCACATTGAGTGTATGAATATCAAGGGTCTGAGGATTTCTGGTAATTTGGAGACAGACCAGTTAATTCTTGCTGTAATAATTTTCATTAAGAATTCTACTCACGAATGTTGAATGACAATTGGGCCTTGATGAAAAATATTTTTGTCAGTCTATTTAGGTATCTCATAGACAAGTTTAAAATTGAGCCTTGGTGAAAGATATTTTAATAGTTGTATAATTAAAACCACTGAAGATGTTATTTCAATTAAAAATATGAAATATCAACTCACATCTTGAAAATTTGTTCTGAAATTTTACAAGAATATTTCAATAAAATAAAATTTCAAGTGTGATAAACTTTTTGACATCGGTTTTCCATTAAAATGTCGGACTGGTGATAAACGGGCCGTGACAATATTTTGATAATGTTTAAAAACCTTTTTGAAATAAGCAAAATTCTGTTTATTTTTTTATTTTTATTTTTTTTTCATGGATTAACTTTCGACCATCCCTCAGTCATCCGTCTTTCATATCTATTCAAATATCTTGGTTAGTGTGTCAATATATTTTTCAATTCTATATAATTGAAGGCGTATCTATATTCAACTTTGCTTTATAACAAAGATTGCAAATAGTTTTAGAAGTTGGTCAGATAGGCAGAGTTTTAGGGCTTGTGGACCAAGAGAAACTGAAAGTAAAACTATCATCGAAACAGTACTGTCTGCGAATGACATAATTTAGCTGTTGAAAATATATTTCAATTGAGCACTGTTGAATGACAAGCTAATTCTCCAACCAACAGCCACCTGCGTTAATGCGAAGCTCTTCAGTAAAATGAATGGAGCACTCCGGCTGATTGATATTTGTTTACATTTGTAAAAACAAATTATTAGATTTAGCTGCCTCATTCTGTAGAAACTCTGACTGACACCAAATCGGTTGGGTTTCAATCCGGCTTGAGGCATTCGGTTGTCTAGTCGCACTGAAAAGCTGTGATACAGCGAAACAGTATTGCCTGCGAATGACACACAGACACACACACCCACACACACCCACACATATATATATATATATATATATATATATATATATATATAGTGTTTAAAATGACTTTTTCTTTTTACCCCACACTTCTTCAGAAAGATTCGTTGGAAAAAGAACTTACAAAAAATAATCATAAGTAGCAAAACTGAAAAAAGGCTGGTGTAGAGGGGGGTATAAATATAGTGACTAGAAGTTTATTTACATCGATTTATTCTCTTAGTAATAAATTTATTTTAGTCATGGCTTCTTATGAAAATTCACTTTATAAATGTTCATTTCATCTTTCGTTTCATTTTTTGGAAGTGTTATCTGATGATCCAGCGTCCTTTAAAAGGCCTCTGGTGAAATAAATTATTACAATGGAGCCTTGCCTTAAAGCGGTCTGTTTTTCTTTATATATATATATATATATATATATATATATATATAATGTTTATAGTAATAAGAAATAATATTGAATTAAAAAATCCATTAGTTGTGTTGCGTGCGTATGCTGATTGTGGTTGGGTGGGAAAACACGTATCTCCTGGTGTATTTATCCCACAACAAAAATGGCGGATTCGGTATGTGAATCCGGGTAAATATAAAAGACAATAGAATAGAGTTATATATATAATGTTTATAGTAATAAGAAATAATATTGAATTAAAAAATCCATTAGTTGTGTTGCGGGCGTATGCTGATTGTGGTTGTGTGGGAAAACACGTATCTCCTGGTATATTTATCCCACAACAAAAATGGCGGATTCGGTATGTGAATCCGGGTAAATATAAAAGACAATAGAATAGAGTTTGTGTTATGTGCGGACCCATGTGTGGGACGCATTTCTCCACGTGGTAACCTGCATCTTACCGTCCATGGGTGAAAGAGGTAAGAGAGGATGACAGAGAATATCACTGCCTATTTATAGGTTTAGGGAGTGTCCCTTAACGGCGACGATTTTGGGAAAGCAAGTGGGGATAACTCTAAAGTTGCTTGAAATTTACTTTGTTTATCTTTCGGCACGAAAATAAAAATGGCAATTATAGATTTTCTTAAATAGGGTAATAGAACCCTGCGTTACTTTGATGGTGACCCGTAGCTTAATGATAAAACACACCTGGTTTCTAAGTGATTTTCTGGACTGTAAAAAGCGTGTACAGTTTCGATTTTTTTCTCGAGAGGCACATTTTATTTAGTAAAATTTCAGTCTACTGAGAACAGCAAGGATTAGTCTGGATTTAAACCACAAGTTCCACATGTGTGTCAGCTTGTCCCCATGTTTGGATTAAGAAGTGCCCGCTTCGACTGGCGACCAAGGGAAGTAACTCTTTCATAGGAGGAATCAGTTTCGCCTAACAATTATAAAACACTATATTTTAAGTTAATAAGAAAATTTATAAATATATGACTAGGCTGCTTCTAAAAGTTTAATAAGACTCAATGATCACTGGGAAAATTATTTTAATGAATCTCTTAGAGCGTTGTTTATATTTACCAGAATGTTCTGTTTTTGTTGCTGAGGTCTTTTTCTGTCATTCTCCCCACTACCGTCTGCTACTTTCATCACAAAGACAAATTCTTACTTTACTATCACCATCATTCCAAAAGTTTTAGAGCATCCCGACGTGGTGTAATGGCTAACAAGCTTGTCTTGCTGGAACAGTTACAACTAAGTAGTATATTCAATCTTCACTGGGTGCTCCATATTTTCGGCCTTGTGTCACATCTAATCAACATTCCAAAAGCTTTTCCTGCCAACACCATTCCCTTATGAATTCTTGATAAATCTATGGAAGCACCAATGCCAATATTTTCAACAGTTTTAATTTCATTTCAATCAATATCACATATCTCAACTATTTGCAGTTTTTTTTTATTAAAAATTCAAGCTAAAACATCTGGAAAAATGAAAAACTAAGTTTGCCATCCTCCTAAGTTGTCAACATTTTTTAAATGTCAACAGCCATTTCATAATTCTGTGTGGAATAAAACGGTTTCTAGACAGGGCCGGTGCGTATAACTCCCGAAACCCCCATGGGTGGACAATCCTGATTGGGGTCCCGGGTAGTACTTCGTGACCCTTGCTGTCTTATCAACATTTGCTTTTTTTACCTACATTTATATACGTTAAAAATTAAACTGATTATTAAAGGATGAAAAATTTTCGTGGATTTTGATGTCATTCTGCGCTCTTTTTTGTACAGATCCGTGAAATGCTAAGTGTCAAAAAACGGTATAAAATTTACTATTTTTTATCCCTAATGTTAAATATGTTAAAATTATTAAATTTATTAACAAGAAAAATCTCAAGTTGATGTTAAAAATTGCCGCTAAACATTGTTGATTTATTTAAAATGGAATGATCTATTATGACATGTCTCTAATTTGTATTTACATACACTGTATTTATTTTCAATTTTTCTAGTTGAATTGTTCACCTATATTACATATGATCTATTATGTTTCATAATTAGGTTACAATAAAATTCATATTTTATATGAATACTACGTAATGAAAATTGAGATGTAATAGAGTTGGGGCGGGGACGTATCATAGATTCGGTGGAGGGAACAAGGCCCTTCCACCGGCTCTGGTACTAGATAATCACTTGCTAGCATCTGTGTGCATGTGTGTGTCTCTATGTGTATGTCTGTGTGTGTGTGTGTGTGTGCGCGCGCGCGCTGGCGTATGCATGCGTGCGTGCGTGCGTGCGTGCATCACTGATTATTTTGTCAAGAATATACAATGTACTTTTTTAATGTTTTTATGAAAATAAATATGTAAGGAGTTTTGATAAATAAATACCTAAATATGTTTCAAATGCCAAATTATGAAGGTCTTCATAGTTATGAAGGCCTTCACAACTATGAAGGCCTTCATAATTGCGAAATATTTCACGCAAAAAATAAATCGTGATTTTCCACGTCTATTACTATAAAAGTTTGAATTAAAAAGAAACCTTTCTATAAATCTAATTATTTTCAGGCAATGTCAGAAAAGCAAGGTACAAACATTTACTAATTCAAAAAGTTTATGACTACAACGAAAAATTTAATACAGTTCGTTTTACGGTAAAGTAAATGAATGAATAAGAATTGAGATTGAGATCGGGAAGTCAAAGTGTAGGTCAATATTTGTGCTATGAAGAATCAAAATGCTGATCAGTCGAGATATACATATTAAGCATGATTTATCTTTGAAAATGGCTTCTAACAAAAATGTGTTTTTACAAGCCGGTTTACGGTCATATCACGTTGAAACACTAGCTCATGTACGATCATCGAAGTTAAGCAACGTCGAGCTTGATCATTACCTAGATGGGTGACTGCTATGGAATACCAGGTGCTGTAAAACTGGATGTGTGTTTGGTGTAA